TCATCTATAGCATTCCTGTGAGACGTGCTAATATGGACAGAAAAGGAGCAATCAGGATTTTAGCAAATGTTAGCAGTGTGTATGGACATTTATTATATGAGGTTAGTGTTGTCATCAGTAACCAGAATAAAGTCCATTATAAAGTAAAAATACTGCCACAAATACTGAATACTTCGAAGCTGTATTTATTGCATTTTAAACACACGAGCAATGCGGCTCTATGAATGGCAGCGCTGCACAATTACGCCCAAACTAATGAGATCGTGTTCATTTATTGACAAAATATTCTTATTGTACGTTCAGATTTAAATAAAAATGCTACATTGCAGCTAATGTGCAAATTCTGCATCAAAACACAACTTAAAATGAGGTTCTTCTGGAGGAAAAATCTAAATAAAACTGCACCCAAAACGCCTGACTTGCTGAACATCTGCCTGCTGATCGACACTCCGTTCATTAAGGAGCTCACAGCAGATATTGGCTGAGCAGCTGTGCACAAAGAAGCCTTTAGTCTCCGATCTGTTACCCAGAAGCTCTGACAGGAGCGTGACCAACTCAGATAACATCAGATTTACCCAACTTAAAACTCAGCGCTGGCATCGACTGTTTTCTATTGGCGGAGCTTTCTAGGAATGGAGTTTTCTAGAATTTTAAACGTCAATATCGCACTCAATTAACTTCATTTAATTGTGGGAAGCCAAAATCAGGATTGTGACTAATATTCCTTTCATTGTGCGGCCCTAATGGACGGGAACACGAGGCTGTCAGTCCGGCCAGCGCAGAAATATCACCGCAATTACTGGATGGATTGCCATTCAATTTAGTAGATATTCAGGGTCCTACTGGCTTTTATAACGCTCTGGCTTTTCATCTGGCAACACTCAGGTTAACATGTTTTGGTGTATAGGGACACATACAGTAAGAATGAGTCCCTAAAGAATGGTTTTAAATGACTGTTGATGTGTCAGACTTGTTTATTGCGGGATTCTAACTGGTTAATGTTGAGAACGTTTTGCTTAATATTCATATTGAGTCCACAGCTTAAACATCCCATTTGAAGCGACGGTGGTTAGTATAAGCTCTGGTAATGACTCCGGCTGGACGGACAAATAAAAATCCAGCCACCCATTGGAAATTCAATTACCACAAACAAAGAAGAAACGAGCGGTTATTGCCAGAATGTGCCGATCGATGAGACAAAAAATTAAAAAAAGAAGAAGAAGGTGAGCGACTTTCAGCAAATCAAACTGAGCCCAGAGAACCGAGAGTTTCTGTGGTGCTCTGAGAAGATTCAAAGGCTAACGAAACACAGATTAAACTGGCTGTAGGCATTTTGGGTTTTTTTGCCGTTTGGTGTCCGCTGAAAACAACAATACATCAACACGGTGTAATTGGAAACCACAGATTAACAAATGATTTTGCCACTACGCTGCTAAAACAAATCCCAAGGCAAGCCATTAACAGGTAATACGCAATTAGTTTCCACGTGAACGCTGGGCTCCAGCGGGAGTGATTAGTCCGACACAAGATGTTCTACGGCAAAACAAAGCATGTGACCCATCTGTGGCAGGAGACAAGTGAGGAGGGAGCAGAGCAGGTGTGTTCGCCCAGGAGGGAGCTCCAGGTAGGTGGGCAGGCAGGCAGGCATTTGACACCCGTCTAACCGCACGAGGCCTCGGAGGTTGACAGCCGGAGCTGCACGCTGCATGAGAAGTCACTGTTTCACACAGAGAAGATGGACTGCAGGTGATGCAGCTGCTATTTTTAACCCGAGGCCTCCCCCCAGGACTGAGTGCTCCGTCTGAATTGTTGTTCTCGCTCACCTCTCTCCTCTCTCCTCCTGCCTACAGAAGCCTCACATCCACAGTCTCGTTTCAAAATCACTCATTCACCGTTTAGAAAGAAGCGACTCCTGAAGTTTTGACGGCACAAACAAAATCACATTGAACCCAAGTGCCAGTTCTGGTTTTAAAAAGTCTCTCAAAAGGACTGAATGGATTTTATTTTACTGGTAGATGTCGAACGATGAACTGGAGTTTTAATTTGCCTTTGAACTGGTTTTATATCAGTGTGAAAAAGAGCCTTTTCATTCCTCCTCCTGAAGCTGCCTCTCAGCGTGCAGCGATGGTGGCAGCTGCAGTCCTTTCAGCGCCGTGTTGCCAAAACATGCTGTACAAAGTCGGGATTAAATTTTAGGATACAAGAAAGTAAAGAAAACAAATATTTCCACTTGACTGCACAATACACACTCCACTGGCTGTCTGTCTGTCTGTCTGCTCCTCTGCCTTGTTTCCTGACAACGTGCCTGGAGCAAAACCAAGCTGCTTGGTTGTGATTTATGTCGCAACCAACGGGGGATACATGCACCTTTTCTGCAGCGCCACCGGGCTTCTGCCGACGCGTCTTTGAATGTTGTGACGCAGCGAAAAGAAAAAGAAAAAAAAAAACAGACTCTGTGCTCGTCGTAATGAATGTTTCACAGAGCGTGTGAAGTTTTGTGCTCGTCGAGTCAGTCGGCCCAGTTTCCGCTCGGCTGTATCTGCAGAGCGACGGTGACGGTGACGGTGTGGTTTCTCATTTCTATGGATGGAGTCCCATGAGTCGGGCCGTCATGGAGTCTAACATAAAGATGTAGGCTTCGGTTTAAGGTGCAGTGGTTTTCAAACTGTACGTGCACAATTTTCCCTTTGCAACATCTATTCAGACAGCAAAACTACTGTAAAGTCACATTTTGGTGCATTTCTTGACAAGAAAGGAGAAAAACTGTTGAACTCATCAAGCAAACACTTGAAATGAGACTGAAATGAAAGAAAAATGTAAATAGGCTTATGCTCCTGGGTTCCCTATGAATATAAAAGTGCCTTTTGTGCCTAAAAACTCTGGCAGTTTGGACTTTAAAGGGGCACTTTAAAGGGCAATTTACTAATGAGAGGTTGTTCTAGACAGCCTGTGAAAGGGAAGCAGAAAATCCAGGGTGTTTGGAGCTTCACCCTTCCCACCAACTAAAAGTTTGGATATTTTAGCCTCTTCTGCTTCAGTTTTTGGCTGTCAAAAAGTGAGCTGGTCTTACAGGTGTGAAATGTTAAACAGT